CCCCGCAATTTTTCGTTACACCTAATAGATTATATGAAAAAGTTTAACTTTTTTCTTTAACAAATATAGAGAAGAAAGATTTGCAACTGCTATGATTTTTGCCAAGGAAATTGCATTTGAAATGAATATCGAATTCGAATTTCATAAGAAACATTTGATATATAGGAAACAATTTGATGAGAATGTTGATAATGAAATCTCAAAGTCTCTCGAAGTGTCCTTTTAGAGTTGATTACTTTTATACATAGTAGACAAGACTATTTTTCACTTGAAAATAGATTTGAACAATTTGAAGCATATGAAGATATTTTTGGTTTTCTCTTAGCATAAAATACTGAAATCATTAGATGATGAAAATTTGAAAAAAATATTGTCTTAATCTTGAATGTTCCTAAAAGTATAATAATCAACTTATATTGATGGTTTAGATTCATTTTCTGAATTACAATTAGAAGATAACAGTTTAATTGATATACTCAATCAAAGAAAAAAATTGATTCTTTTCCAAATGTCTATATTACTTATAGAATAATGTTAATAAGTCATGTTACCGTTGCTTCGGTGAAAAGAAGTTTTTCAAAATTAAAATTAATATTATCTTACCTTAAGATCAACATTATCTCAAGAGAGGTTAATAGATAGCTATATTATCAATTGATAACTTTGCATCTAAAAAAATCTAGAAAAATAGACTTCAAATAAAATTAAAAAAAATTAAAAAAGTTAAGACCCTTCGTAAATAGCAGGTAGCTAAAACCTCCCCCACAGTATCCCTATTTTCAGAAAGCAATTTTCTTGGTGGTTCTTGAACAGCCTAAGGAACATCCCTTCGAGAGGAAAAAGGCAAGAGTGGCAAGATTACTACAGTGTGGTCTAAAAGCTTCTAATTAACCTTGAGAGTTAACACGAGGGTTAAGTGAATCATCTCTTGAGTGATATGCAAATGGGGAGGACTAATTTACATTAACCGATTTTCTTTACTTTCAAGCATGTATTTTGCAGGTTCAATGAGATACAAGGTAGGTGTTGGTGGTTGTAATAACCCAAGAGGTAAATCTATAACTAAGAGTGAAAGATGGAGTTCATCTTGTGACTCTATTTCTAGTAGAAGCTCCTATGGGTAGTACTATGATGAATATGAAAGGATGTTGGGAAAAATAATAATCCCGTCCAGGAATAATATCCACGGCAGTAATAACGACACCAACTCTTTTAACGAGGTAAAATACAATATCCGAGCAGAGCAATATTACCACTATAATATTACAACTTAATAGTGTCAAGAGACTACTACAATTTTGAAAGAAATAAGACTCTTTATTTACATCTCATTACAATATTACTCGCACTCACCATTTATCTCAGACTACAATCTGTGGATTACTCTCTCTAATTTCTATTACTTCTCTCTGTTTTTTGTGTGTTTAAAATAAAAGTGAGGGTCACTATTATAGATAGCCTCACCACCCAAAGAAGCCAATCAGATTTGACTTTTGCAATTTGCATGAGTATTCTTCTTTATTTTGTACACCCATTCTACTTCATCCACACATATCATTGCTTGCTTCTTTGTCCAAATGTCACGAGCTACAATCTTCAATGTCTTCTTCCTTGAGTGCCAAGAACAATATTGACTCATCTTCTTTCTTGTTTTCAATAATGTTAGCTTTCTCCTCAACATTGGAACGACATTCCCAAAAGTAATGGCCAAATTTATGATAATTATAGCACTCATTTTTTGATTTGTCATACTTTTGTCCATTATTTAATTTCTTGATAGTAGTCGCGTCCTCTTCCTCCTCTTTGTCGACGACCACGGCCTCTGAATGTATGGTGGATTTTAACTTCATTGTTGAAGTTGTTACCATTACTTCTTCCTCTTCCATGACCGCCACGGCCTCGTGCTCGTCCATTCCCTAGATAGTTTTTTTCACCTTCATAATCCTTAAAGGATGCATGAGTTTTAAGAAGTTGCTCCAGTGGCACTTCTTGTCTCCTCTTGATCTTTTCTTCATGGGCCTGTAAAAATCCTCCAATTGCTCCACCATCATAAAGTCTAAATCTTTAGACTCCTCAATAGCACACACCACAAAATCAAATTTAGGTGTTAATGTACGAAGGATCTTTTCTACCATACGGACATCTTCTATGTCCTCCCCATATCTTCTTAATTGATTCACAACAACCTTCACTTTTTAATAATAATCCGAAATATATTCAGATTCTTTCATTTTTAAAACTTCAAAATCAACCCTTAGAGTTTGAAGTTTTACCTTCTCACCTTATCAACTCCTTGGAGAGAATTTTATTAATTCTCCCAAGATTCCTTTGAGGTGGTAGCATCTGCCACCTTCTCAAACAAGGCATCATCAAACATTGGTAGATGAGTGTGAGGGCCTGTTGATCCTTCTTCCTTGTCTTTACCAAGATATCTTTTTTATTTTAAGGCAGAGCTTCCTTATTATTGGGTTTTGCATACCCTGTATCTATGATTTCTCACATATCCTGAGAGCCAAGAATGACTTTCATATGTAGAAACCATTTTTCATAATTTTTTTTTGTGAGTCGGGGGCACTGAAAAGACAGATGACCATTATGCACCATGGCTCTGATACCACATTCTTGGAAAAAATAATATCCCGCCCAAGAATAATATTCATGATAAACAATACCACAAGAGAGTAACAATGATACTTAATCCTTTAACGGGGTAAGCAATACCCGAACGGAGCAATATAATACCACTATAATATCGCAACTTGATAGTGTCAAGAGACTACTATAACTTCGAAAGAAATAATCCTCTTTATATTAAACACCACAGTACGATATTATCCCATTCTCTATTTACCTCACAGACTACAATCTGTGGATTACTCTCTCTATGCTCTATTGCGTTCACTTTGATTTTGATGTACTTGAAATGAAACTGAAT